TGTACTCATAGTCGTGCATGCCGTAGTCGTTAGACCATTGACCTCGCATCCCTACAAAGCCGGGACGGAGCACGCCGGGTTCTCACCGGACCAGGCTCTCACATCACAAAGCGCGAAGTGCCGTGAGGTGAATTGTTGGTGTTGATGATGATGTTGCCGTCGTCGTCGTCGTCGTCGTCGTCATCGTTGTCGTATTAAGTTTATTGTTGACGCTGTCGCCACCGCCGCCGTCGGCGTGGTTGTCTTCAACCGAAGCCGCGTCCTGAATTTCACCAAGTACCTCCTATCCCCTTAGGCAAAGGACCAGCTTGTTTGTCGTTGCTTCAGCCCCCCCGAAAACAAGCTAAGAAAAAGGAACAACGTGTTCTGGAGCGGTCAGGCATGCAAGATGTCGATTTCATTCTCGCAATGTTTTCGGTCGCGGGACATGTATGCATTCCTGGCGTTATTACGGTACTTCTCGTTGTCAAATATTTTTTTCGCTCGCATTCTCGGGTGGCCACGAACAAAAAGAACCCAAAAAGAACAATGCAGACGTGTATCGCTACGCGGCGGAACCGGCGTGGGTAGTTTCAAGGCAGCAAGGCAGCGAACATCGTGATCCGTTACGCCCATTGACTCTGTTCTCTCCCGGTGTCAATTGTCCGTGTGCGGGCGTGGGGAGGACAGCCGAAACTTTTTGGATCCAAAGTGAAGTCCCTCGGGGTTCTTTCTGCAGTTCTTCGGACCGGGGTGGTCTCATATGCAAGACAGCAACAGACCTGTGCTGCCTCTTCACCGAGAAAAGGCAGAAGAAATCGACAATTATTTATTTGTCGTTTTGTGTACATTTTCGGCGAGTATGACTTTCAAAGGGACTGCCCTCGGTAAATTTCCATATTTTCTTGTTTGATTTGGCGACAGCAGCAGTAACACACGACCGAGGACGTATCTTCTCATGTGGCTGCTCTCTTGAGGATCGAAGTAGTTGCGAAAGATCTTCATGTATCCCTTCGCGAAATACTTCGAGTAAACAGGGAAGACATGGGGCAAGTTCTGAGAGGCTGAAATAACAATCGTGGATTTGGGACGCGCCCTTGGCCTGCAAACCACACCACTTCACTGGCCGTTGCTCGAGGTGACTAGGGTCCTGCGTTACACTCGGGTCATTTCATTTAAGCCATTTGCGGGATATTAATCGCCGTGTTGACTGCAGTAAGGCATTTAAGGCATTTGTACTGTGGGTCCCAGAAAACGCCCCAAAGTACCCCGACTGTCTACTCGCTTGTTCTTGGAACGTTTCTGTCGAAGCAGCGGACTAATTCGCCCCCTACCAACTTCAACATTATCATGTATGTGCTTGGCACTTACCCACCCCACCATGTAACCACTCCATACACGCAATCGGTATAAGAGACCACGTCCGTCGGAAGACCGCCCCACTCGTCGACATTACCAATTACACATTTAGTGGTGCTCATATCCTTGCCTCGGTAATCCGCCGGTACCTACCTACGACCACCTGGGCGCCAGTCCTATTCAACGAAACGTCTGAAGCAGGTACAGGAATCCTACCGATCCCCTTAAGCAGGTAAAGGCACAATACCGAGCCCCGTTGCGGCTGCAACAACTATAGTCTAGACTAAGCCGAAAAGCTTGGAATTACCCTACAGTCGGCGGATCTCCTCCTGCAGTTGGCATTCCGTCCGACCCCCGCCCCCCACGACAACATAAAGAAGCACATACATTCACGGTTGCGTCGGCTATACCAGTTCCAATCATTTTTTTCTCTGAAAGGGCGGTCCATTCCCTACATGCCACCCGGAAGTATTCGGGGAACTTTGTGTCAACGAGTTTTTTTCGCAAAACAACGAACGAACACGGGCACTTTGAAGTATCTTGTCTTTCGGCCCAGTACTTCAGAGTGGCTTCGGCGTCCTTACAATCTTTGCCAAGCGCTCCTGTTAACATCGACTGGCTTTGCCCATTTCTTCGTGAAACTCCCGTATCTCAGCTCTCTGTACCAGAGAGTGTACTTTGTAATTTTCCCTTGCTGTCTCTTTCGTCTTCAGCTGTGGGTACGCCTACTACTGTCCCTCGACGAACTTTTCCATGTCTGTGTCCGTGCAAACCGCATGTAAGAGATCGATGGCCTCAAGTAGACATCCCCTGTCCGCAGGTCGCCGTCTCACACTTAAAGAAAACCTCCTGATGCTCCGTACCCCCTTTCAGAACAAGTTGAAGCCTCGGAATTCGTTTCAGGAGGTTGATGCTATGTGTGGTGATTCTGCTCGAACAAGGTTACCATGTGCTACGGCGATATGTGCTTGGTTTGCCTACAACCGGAAGTCCGCGCTGCTCGAGGACAACAGTAACCAGCAACTACGCAACCACCACAACCAAAAAGAGGAGCCACGAAACGAAAGACAGCGACCTAGTAGTCGCTGCCAGGAAGATAAAGGTAGAACACCTGACACCCTTGCCGAAGGTTGTACTCGTCAATTCGATGCTTCGTGTGGAACTTGCTGCCCAGGTCCAACACTTCCAGCTTCGGGGGTGGCCAGGAGTCTTCCTCGAGGGCCCTGGCGAACGCTCGTCCGAAAGCGATCTACACCGATGTGGCGTTTTTCGATAGGAGGGAAGGTACGTTGTTCAGGCAGCACGCTCGTGAGTTGTACTTGTGTTTAACGCACATGCCGGTCCCCAAGATCATTTGGACGACATATGGAGGAGAGACAACGCGTGGAGAGGCTTTCACGTGTTTTTAGGGAATAAACGTAGGAAGGGAGTCTACTCCGTGCCTGCGCTGTGAGGGTTGGTGAATATATCAACCGGGGTCACGCTGGAGGAAAGACCACGTACAGGTGTGTGGCTGGGCAGGGTAGCTTTGCGATCGAGATCAGTGTGGAAAAGAGGGTTTCGTCCTCGACAAACGTTGGGGAGTTTCAACCTTTATGAAGGTGTTCTCCACATGACCCCCCCCTTTTTCGAGGCTTCTTCTTGTTTGCTAGGCAAGAGAAGTCTTCTTGGGGTAACCGGAACCCGACCGGCTGGCGGCGAGTAGAATCACCTTTTTTTCCAACAATCTTCTGTGCGTGTTGCGGGTGCGCCACTTCCGCCACGTATTGCCAGGAGTTTCGAGTTCGATAGACAGTGCATCGTTTCTTGGCCCACCCACCGTTTTTCTTTTTCCGTACTACGGAAGAAAACTAGGTGAGCAGCGGGTTTTGAACCCGCGTCGTTTGCAACCAAAAGCAGACACCTGACATCTCTTTGTCGACGCCATTGTGGAAAAGAGGGTTTCGTCCTCGACAGACGTTGGGGAGTTTCAACCTTTATGAAGGCGTTCTCCACATCAGCAGTAGAATCAACAAGAACAACAACAACAATCACAACAACATCAGCATCAACAACAACAACATCAACTTCAACAACACATTGTACCCGAGTCAATTTTTCCGGCCACGAAACGCGGGTGACGTCCTGATTGAAGCACCGGCCGAGGCATATCGACCGCAATCCTTGGGGAAACGACGTGCCCTCGATTGGCATGTTGAAATTCAGCCCGAAATCCAGCTCGAGCAGTCCTTCGGGCCACTTAACCGCGACCACAGACTGGTTGAATAACACCTTCATCGAAGAAGGAAACAACTATGAGAGTGTGGCAATTTTTTGTGTTTTCGCGATAGAAACGCGACCTCGGAGCTTCCCCAGCAGCCATACCCCAACCGCCACACGTATGTAGGCACACGACGCCGACGAGGTATAGATGACGAACGCGAGAACGGACAAATACAACTATTAGCAACAGCTGCAGCAGTATCAACAGCAACAACAGCAATGACCCGCCCCTAGGCCACGGTCGCCAACAAACACGCGGTTTACGCTGAAAGCAGGCGCACCAAGAGGTAGAGCCGTTCCAGCCCCGCTGGCAGAGTAACGCCTTCCAAGGGGTGGTTGAAGTCGTCCCCCAGGTCCAAATTGAGCAGCCCTTGCGGCCAACTGGTTTCGGAACAAGACCAGAATAAGATAAACACGGGGTACGGTTGTAGCCGTCGGGGGGTACTTTCTTTGTTTTTTTTTTCCGTGCCTGCCTTCACCATTTGAGGAACGCCCATGCAACACCCTCACGAAGAAGCGCCTCTCCTGCAACTCGATATGGACACCGGCCATGTTTTGCATGGAGGGCGCTTGTACCGTCTACACGGCTGACCTAGTGTCTCGTGTTCGTATATGCCCTTTACCTGGAAGGGGAAGACGTTTTATCTCTTGTATTAGAGACGCAAGGGGAGAAGGAAGAAGTGAAGCCCTATTTGGAGTTCGAGGAGTCCCCGCACATGCAACCATTTCAAGGTGTACATATGCCCCATCTGCGTGCCCTCTGTTGTTGCCGGTAGATCTAACCAGTCCGTATCCAAACACACGAACACCCTCCCCGGTTTGCACGCGAATGGCACACCTAACGTGGGGCATGGATACCCCTGATCTACCAAAGGGACTCAAAACAACAACAGGCTCGAGGAAAAACCCGGCCAACCGGATCAAAAACCCTCGTCTAACACCCTAAATATAGAAAACCGTCGCTATCACGGAGGATTCCAACAGTCGCACTTTCAAGACAAGACCAAGGCAGGAAATATTGAACCGGTCACGCTGATTACACACCCGAAGCAACGCTCTCGGCGTTTCTAGGCTCCAGCCGCGGGTGACGCGCCGGCACAACGCTTCCTGCGTGACGTACCATGGTCATATATTCCAAGTGCCAAAACCACCACATAAACTAAACAGAACAAGAGAACACTACATCGGTAGGTTCATCAGAGCCTTCCGGTGGTACTTTAACTTCTCTCTGTCCAGGACCTTGGTCAGTATGTCGGTGTGCTGCTCTCCAGTCGGAACATACTCTGCAGTGATCTTGCCCGACTTGAATAGCTCGCGAATGAAATGGAACCGCACGTCGATGTGCTTGCTCCTCGCTGAGCTGAACGGGTTCTCGATTAAGGCGAGGGCCCCCTTGTTGTCCTCAAGGACCTTGATCTTCGCCCCACTTGTCTCGGGCGCTATGAACGACAGAACGCCACGCACAAACAACGCCTCCTTCACGCCCTCCCCGGCTGCCATATACTCTGCTTCCGAGGTCGACTGAGCCGTCACTAGCTGCGTCTGGTGGATGCACACACTACGGTACCACCTACGGTCACAGCTAGCCCGTTCGTAGAACGCCTGTCTACTTCGTTGTCAGCGTAGCTGGCATCGACGAACACGCTTAGGTCTAGTCCTAACCCCCGTACGTGGGTGATGCCGAAGTCCTTCGTGAAGTTCAGGTAGGATATGATCCGCACAAGCGCGTGTCATATCCTCCCGGTGGGTGAATGGGCGATCTTCTGGAGCTTGTTCAGAGGCAGGGCGATGTCTGGCCTCGTCAGCTTCGTCCAAATCAGGCATCCGATCGCCTCCCTCACAGGCTTATCCACCGCGGGCTCGTCATCTCTCTTCGGCCCTAGGTCGGCATCGGTGGCAGCAGGGGTGAAAGCGGTCGTGGTCACATCAAACCGCTTCAGCATACTCTCAATGTATGCTGTCTGGGACAGTTTGGTGATGCCATTTTCTACATCCATGGCGATAGCACACCCGTCGAACCAGGTACACTCCCCCATATATTTCACCGGAAACTTCTTGTTGAGGGAAGCGAACAACTCCTCTCGCTCTCCCTCGTCTGCCGCCACTAAGATTTCATCAACGTAGATCACGATGAGACCTACGACCTCTCCATCCACCACCTTCCGGAAGACACACGGGTCAACCCTGCATTGCTCGCATCCATTCTCGATGAGGGCATCGGCAACTTCAAACCCCCACTCACGGCCACTCTGCTTTAGGCCATACAGGGCACGCTCAACCTTGACCACCTTGCCTGACATGCTACCACAGCCTTCCGGGAGCCTGAGGTATATTTCTTCTTTTAGCTTAGCGTGGATGTACGCTTGCTTCACATCCCAGTGAGCGAGTTTCTTGCCCTTTTCAGTGGCTACGGCAATCACCGTCTTGATAGACGCTGCAGACGGGAACGCTGAGGATGAGTGGTGGAAATCGATGCCGGGGATTTGAGAGAAGCCCCGGGCAACCATACGGGCCTTGAAGTCGACTATCAGGCCCTTCCCATTCGTCTTCGAAGAGAACACCCACTTTGAACCTATGGCCTCCCGCCCCTCGGGCAGCTCCTTGACCTTGGTAAACGTTCCAGTCTTGTCGTGACCATCTATCTCTTTCTTCATGGCCGCCTCCCAGAAAACCTTGTACTTGGAACACACCACATCTTTGTACGTCATCGGTACTGCTTCCACATCACTCGGCTTCTGTCCGATTGGCGAGGTCATACTTAGCCGTGGGTCTAGGAGTGGTTGCGAAGACTCGCTGGCGTCGACCTCGGCCCCGAACGCCTGCTGTTCCGGGCCCAACACCTCCTGCATCTCGTGCCTGTACTTTTCCTCCATACGGCGTGTCTGCTCCTCGTCCCACTGCTCCCTCACAAGCGAGTTGCAGATGTAGTCCTCAACAATCCCCGTCCCGCCAGTTTCCAGGATGGTCGCCAGCAATGCCTCTTCCGGGTCCGGTGTTTCTCCGGGCCCCGGCATTTCCCCGGCATCTTGCATCTCCCGGGTCTGCTTCCGCGTGCGGCCACTCTCAAGCCCATGGCGCAGCGGGCCAGCGTTCGAGGCGCCCCAGAGGAGTTTCTTCCCTT